CACCCCTTCCAGCACTAGCAAGCTTGGTTTCCATGTTTTCATGTCTGCCTCTGCAGCCTCCTCACCCCTGGCAGCAGCTCCCTCCTGACTGCTGGGAAGACCTGGGATTTATTCCCAGACAGGAAAGCCAAGCTAGTGACTGCAGAATTAAGTATTTCCTTTTATTCTAACTTTAGGAGAAATGTTTGGATTTCTGCATCCTGTAAACTGATCATTTCTATATACCTGTCTTGCATTTATCACCTGGTCAATGCACCTCAAACTTCTTCTCAGGGGGCCTCCAATGGAACAAATTGTAGATGTTGTTCATCAAAATCCCAGGGGACCTACAGGCACTCTTGTTTATAAAAGACACTATCATTTAAAAAAAAATATTTTCTGCTTCAGTCAAATCATATGAAGGCCACCATCTTTTGTCTCAGGCTCTTTAAGCAGAATTTCTCCTCTGGCTTTAAATGAGTTCACTGTATATCAGCAGCATATAAGTGATGTGGCCAAATTCCCTTTGCTGCAGCCAGGTGCCAGGCTGCTAGAGAAGCCAGGACTGCACCAGGCTGCTATTTAAAACCTCAGCTCTTCCTTCACAGCTGGATCCTAAAACTCAGCCTGAAGAAGCTGAGCACCACTGTGCTAGCCCTGCATGAGATAAGGCCTTCACTGTGCCCGTCAGAGCAATGCAGTCCCTTTCTCCTGCTCCAAAATCTGCAGGTGTTCCTCATGCCTGAGGCCACAGAAGAACCCAGCAGCCCTGTCACTGGCTATGGCATTGGCAGCTGCACAGTTTCTCCAAGTAAACCTTCAGCACTCACAATTAGAAGAAATGAAAGGGCAACTGCTTGTGCGTTCTCAAACGAAGAGCTCCTGGCAAGTCTTCTTAAAAGCATCAAAACCCAGAAAAAGAAATTCAAAACATGTTAATTCTCTCTAGCTTAAAAAACCCTAGACTCTAAATTATCCAGGAGATTCATTTTTTCTTCTTTTTTTTTTTATTTCCAGTCAGCTGGTATTTTTCCCAAATTAACATATTGTTCATGTTTTTAGATGAATTTAAAACTCAGATCTTCTTAATACTGAAACTCACATCTGCTAAAATCATGAGAGCAGCTTTAACACTGCATATAGTTTTAATTCTGTATTAGGAAGAAAAAAAAAGGTGAATCTGGGCTAACAAGTATGTCATCCTATGTAATCCTTGCTGGTGTGAAAGAAAACTCACATAGTTATTCAGGACAAAAATAATTGGCCATCAAGCAAATATCAGGGCACACCCAGCTCTCTGCCTAAGCAGAATGCATCTCGGGTGTGCCAGGAAAACACTTTGCAACAACAGTAGTGCTAATTTGATAAGGAACTGCTAGTCTGGGGATGAGCCTCTGCCCAGTGTTTCCTGGCAACCACAATGCTTTTGTAGGCCATTGAGCCATTTCTGTCACATTTGAAAAGGAGAGAAAATCACTTCATACCTATCTGGAGTGCTACAAGTTTTGGAGAAAAGCATTGGGCTAAAGAAACTGAAGAACACAGCACACTTGGCCTCTCCTGTGGGAAGCATTTTACAATGAACATTGCATGCATAAGAGGGAATTAAGGAACAAAAGGCACAAACATTGTGGTAAAGCAGGCTTCATTAGCTTTGCTGCTCATAGAACAACTTGTATTTGACACTGGACAATTATCCAGCCAATAATGACACCTTCAGTTCAACAAAAAGTCTAAGATGAAGAAGGGAAGGCTTAGTGGCTGTTCAGTTACATGTTATCTGACACGTAACATCATGCTCTACAACAGGTTTGAATACTGGGATATTTTTATCTTGCTGTTATATAAAAGAATCCAAAAGATAGCTTAGATAAGGAAATCAACTGTGAAAGTGAAGAAAACAATTGCCTTTGAAAGGAGCTGAAAGAGAAAAATAGGGCAGTTTTAACAGTTTGTATTGATCAGGAGAGTTGGTACCTTATTTTCTCTCTCTCTTTTTTTTTTTCCTGTAAAGAATACTTGCAGAACATGCAATACAGTCAGTGCTTTTTCTCACAACTTTCCTCATTTTAGGCCTTTTGTTTGCTGGCTTATTTTTCAAATTGGTGGAAATAATTAAGGAGGCCCTTAAAAGACTTCTGTTGCTTTTTGTTGATTTAATCCTTAGGCTTGTGTTGATAGAAAACAAAACCGATTCTTGTTAAAACCTAATAAAGGCATTAGGGTTTTTTCCCAAAACTATGATAAAAGAACACCTAGCAAACCATCTTTTGTGATAATTCTTGGAGGTAGTGGAAATCTTGCAAGAGTGCTGCTATATGAATTGCCAGGCACTTTGCATGGTCCTCATCTTGCTAAGGGCACACACACTTCTCTCTCAACCCTCCTAACATAAAACAGTGAAAAGCCAGGTGCAACCAAGAGGAACTTCCACACAAGAGCTCTGGGAGACATACTGTTTACAATGTATTTGTGTGTTGAATTGATGTGGAGCTGTCCCAATGCCCTGAAGCAAGAAATGCCATTTATATTCATATCCGAGAAAAGTGGAGAAAATTATTCTAAAAGAATTAAGGGCTGCTGAGCATGGAAGAATGCCAGGCTTTCAGACAAAATCTATGTTGCTGAGAGTAGGCACAAGACAGGTATTGTTCCTCTTCTCAAAGCCACTTGTTTCTACATGGATTCTGTTTGTCATCAATACCAGCAGGTTTCTGGATGCTGCGCATCCGCGGTATTATAACATTTTCCTGTAGAATAAGCAATTACAATGAGATACTGCAGTGCATGAGAGGAGGACAAACAATTGGTATGCCATAGGCTTTTCCTCACTACATCCCTTAGCAATGGCCGTTGTCCTCACAGATTGTCCTGGACCACCAGGTGTATTTCTTGGATGGTGCAACCACCAGTTCTCCCCAGCTAACTGCAGCTGGGGCAGTGTCCTGGAGAGATCTGATGCAGAGCTAGGTCAGGGCTTAGCAAGCCCACTGCTCTTCCAACCCTCCTGTGGTCTCAACAGAGATCTTCTTATGTGTTCTTCAAAGATTACCACACCAGATTTGTTCTTTTGGTCTAAATAATTTATTATTTGTATTATGCATGTTGCTCCCTCCTCTGACTTATGTCCTTTTCCTGCAGTCCCCTGAATATCTGACAGTATATCCTGCTGATAGAGTCAAGAGTATTTTGTTTAAAACCTGAAGAAGTACCACCACTCTAAGGGGTCCAGGATCACCTTAACTAACACCAGGAAAGGGCATAGTTTGAGACAGACAGAAGCAAATCTCCAGCTGCACAGACTAATGAAGTCTTCGCATGCTGACCTGAGATTGTCCAAATGACACTTTGCTCAGCTGAGGGTTCAAGACTTGTGCTTTAGCTGTCTCACAGAGGAGCACAGAGAGAGGCCACTGAGATCAGCCCTTTCCTGCCTGGCATCTTTGGAGGTGCACAGAAAGCTATGGATCTTTACATGATTCCCTGGCATTCAGGATGTTGTTCTGATTCTCTCATCAGCCCAGTATAAGCCTCACAGATTTTCTAGACCACTGCTGATTTCAAAACACTTTGCCACACTTTGAAATACAACATTACATAGGTGAAAGCAAGGAAATACCTCAGCATTTCTTTGCATTCAAAAGTTGACTTTTCAAAAATGTTTTCTGATTTCTGATTCTGATTTTTGTATTTTGAAGACTCAGCTATTGAACACATTCAGAGCAGAAAAAATGCACTTGTGAAATATTGCATGTGATAGAAAAGAGAGAAAGAGAAAAAGCTGCTGGTTTTCTTGCATTGTGCAGTTCCCCTGATTCCCCTTCCCTTCTCCCCAGGAAAAAAAAAAAAAAAGGAAAGGAACAATCAAACTGGGACAAGAGGGTCATTTAAGTAGCATCTGAAGTCAGCAGCAATCCAAGGAGCACTCTGCTCCCTGTGTACACACAATGGCTGGCTGGAACAACTAACAAAGCAGAACTAGTCACCAGTTTTTAGTAGTAATGAAAATATTTCCATTAATTTCTGTTGTAAAGTGCAGTGAGATGGAACCAGCTGGGCTTCCACAATGCAGCACCTTTGTTTTCTACATGCCAATTCAATAACTGTCATCTGCCAACCTTAAAACTGTTTTTTTTTAAATGGGTTTTTATGCATCAGGATCTGAACTCCTGCAGGCTTAAGAGGAGATTCAGAGCCATGCCTCTAAAATGAGGATGCAAAGCATAAGGCAGTGAGGGCTGTTCTGTGTCTGAAGCCTGCTAGTACACTTGGCCTTGAATGCCAAAATTCTACTATTCTACAGGCCAAACATTTTGGGGGCTGGTAAAAAGGCTGTTAGTGCTCTTTGCAAAGTCAAGTTCCTGGTTTAGTCATTAGCCCAGGATTTGTGCTTCATGGAATCTGTTAGATACCATGCTCCTGATTAATCATTTTCTTTCTGCCGTGGTACCAAGCTGGTAAATTAGGCCCCAAGGGGAGCAAAATATCAAAAATTTCCAGGTTTGCCTTTCATCTGATTTTTACCCATAAATGCAGTCTCTGTGTTGTCCTTCTTTCCCTATTCCCTACCCTTTCAGTGTCCCCTGACTCTGGGCCTTTACCCCTCTGGCTTATTTTAAACCTCACTGATGCAGAATACCAGTCAGAAGGGGGAGGGTTGGCTGCCTGGGGGAAAAAAGAGCCAAAGAGGACATTTCCATCTTTTTCACAGGGTCTGATGAGTGGAAGGGTGAGTTCACAGTAGCTCTGGCAATGTTCCTTTATTCTGCCTCTCTTAAAACAGACATTAAGAAATAAACATCATAATTTGAATAATTTGCCTAAATCTTCCTCCACCTACTTCAAACCCCTTTCTCACAGACAACAAAGTCAAATTTGCACCCATTGAGCAAAAACTGCTCCTGATAAATTTTTCACTCTTCTGTGTTTTTCTATATTTTTTGGATAGATAAACAAGAGCAGTAGTTTCTTGAGATCAAAAAAGAAACAGGGCACTGACATAGAACAAAAGTGCTGTTTTATTCAAATAGATTTCTGTGGGAAAAAGAAGCTGGCTACTGGAGCTACTTCTAAGCAACCAGATCTTCATGAGATTCAGAAATACATATCTGGGGAAAATATGTATCCCAAGCTGAATAGGAGAGGTCCAGATGTCATTCTTTTTCCATTCCAGGAAAAGGAGAAAAGGTTTCCTACAAAAACATATTTTTTCCCTGTCTCAGGAAAAGCTGTATTAATAAATAAGCATCACAGTATGAATCTCTGCCCTGGCTCCATCTGTTAAACTAATACAAGACTCCAGAGACAGTCTTCACACAAATAGCATTAAATAGAAATCAAGAGTGGCCTGAAATTTATTTCTCAGAGCCATAAACCCAGGAAAAGAAGCAAGTCCATGTTGCCAGGGTAGAAAACATACCCTGAATTGTTACATTTGCCTTGGTTCCTTCACTGGTAGCTGCTAGTGTACAAACTAGCAGGAATTACTGATCTTTGGTCAGACTTTTGACTGACCAGGTCATGTTTTTTCATGTTTCTCCCATTAATGGTGAACCACCAAGGAGTCACAAAGCAGCTTCTGCCTCTCCCAGAGGAGCAAAGAGGTTATCTTGAGGCACTCTTTCCCCTTGGAACACGTGAGACAGACAGCATGGAGGAGACCCAAGGCTGATGATGCCTCTCTATGTAAATTTCTCTCCAAATGCTCTCCAGCAGTGTTTTCTGTAACCCTGTCCTCTCTTTCCCTCCATTTCGTAACATTTTCCCTTTTGGTTGCCAAATTGTCTCCCTGTCCCTAGTGCCATCTTTTCTACTGATTACTTAAAACTCACACATCACTTCTGTCACCATTTCCATATGAAAGTGTACAGTTTCTATGACAAAGCTGTCATGGAAACTTGAAATTTGTCAGATTTTCACATTATACATAACCTGCAAAACTGCATATTATTAAACATGTTCTGATGCTCCAAGTTACTTAAAAAATATTCCATTGCTAAATCCCCCTGCTCTATTCAGTCAACATTTGTCATCTGGAAGAAAACTTCCACATCAAGTTGCTGTTGCTTCAAGGCATTGATGAAGGAAGGTGCTCTTCTGTCATGCTTGCAGCAGACTGGAAGTAGATCAAAGCCTCTAATACTTTTCTGGCTCAGCTGGTGGATGAACTTAAGAGCTGCAGTAGGATGGGCTACAAGAGAACACAATCACTTCTGCACACATCTTAAAAAATACCTTAAAAATGTTATACAGTAGCTGTTGTCAACATTTTTGAAGGACATTCCTTGTTAACATTCACATTTTGTTAACATTTTGTTAACATTTTTTTGTTAACATTTTGTTCAGCTACAGTCAAATAAATGCATGCTGATGATAGACACCAATCAGATAGTCCATAACACCAACATGAAACTCAGGTGGGTACTAACAATCCTGCGTTCCCCTCCTTGGAGCACACAGTAGTGCTGTGTAAGCCTGGCAGGTATTTTGTACCCATCTGTGTTGCTTTGGTGACATTTCATTAACTAATTTTATCTCTCATTTCATTTGACTTACAAACACCTATTCTGAATCTGACTCAACATCCCATTAGTTGGCAGATGGATTTTCCTTATTTTTTATTAGGCAAGGATGCTTAGGTGTGGAGAGAATATTTTATTTCCTTTCTGATTTTAACTTCAAGTGTAAGCACGTGCAAGTATTTTTCCATCTGTTACCTGATTTTCTTCTTCATAAGCTTCAAACATTACTGGAACTACTTCATCTTGAAAAAAAAATCTTGCTGTAAGAAAGGATACTGAGGCTGCTGAGGCTTTTCCCTATGGAAAGATAAAAGGTTTAATCAGGTATAATGCATCTACTGACTTCCAGTTTTTAAATTCTCCAATTTTTAACTGCCAAGAAACATTTTTATTGTACAAAACCTATATTAATAAATTAATAGTTCATTGATCAATTTTCAAGAATTAAAATAAACAATTTATTAATAAATAGTTTAATGAAGTGATACATCAGCCTGTTTTTTCTCCTCTATATGTAGGGTGACTTCTGGTTTATTCCTTTTTTTGATGAAAAATCACATTTGCTCTGCATTTTCTGGACAACTTTAGCCATTATATTTTGTACTTGAACCTGCTGGGACATTCTGGGACAAAATGCTCATGAGGAGGAAAAAATGTGTTGAAAATTTTGTACCTACTTCTAGATTTGGGTTGGGCAGTACAACATACATTGCTTTCCCACAACAATTCAATCTCCACCAAGCTCAGCAGCATCCTTAGGTTCTTCTTTGGCATTATCAAGGAGACATTATTACAGTTTTCTCCATCATTTCTCAGGAGCTGTCATTATTATGGAGTATCTGCAGGACAGCCACTGTGATGTGATACAAATCCATTCCTGTGTCAGTAGATTCTGAATGCAAGAGTGGCTGTGGATAGATTATTTCCCAGACACGACCTGAATCCTGACCTGAATCCTGCCCTTCTAGTGAAATCAGAAAGTCAGTATTTTCTCTGCACTGCCTTTAAACACTCCACAACAAACTCCATGGCCTCGTGACAGTACCCATGCCGTCCCTATATAGTCACATTTGTCCCTCTCTGATCTTACCAAAGATCAGAGCAGGAAAATAATGATGGCAGTTCTGACAGACTCCTGAAGGAGTTATTGCTTGACCAGCATCAGTTTCCTGGGTGAATTCCTTTCTTTCTAGGACTTCTACCTTGTAACAATTTCTATGAATTTTCCACCCTCCACATGCTCTCCAGCAGCCCCAAATTACCCACCTCCTTCTTTGATAAGTTACAGTGTTTCTCAGCTGTTCCTGCCAGGATATCAGAAGCTGTATCATGTATCAGCTTTCATTTCTGTGATCTTTGGCTTGAGTTTCTGATTTTCACCTTTATCTCTTTATCTTTATGGTGAACATTTCAAATCCACTTCTAAGGCCTCCTTTTGCTCTGCTATAGCCATAGTTAGCATCTGTCAAACCATGAACAACTGAAGCTGTGGTCTTTTCTTGTCAATGTTCTATTTAAAAAAAAAAACAAAACAAAACAAAAAACAAACTAACAAAAAAAAAAACAAACCAAAAACCTCCCAAAACAAAACAAAAAAAAAACCCAACCAAAAAAAGCCCCAAACTGCCAATCCACACTCAAACATACACATGGGCACATGCATATGCAAAAGATGTAGGGAATTCCAAACCTCTTTCAAATCCTTCTGATTCATTTACATAATAAATTTTCAGAAGGATTCAATGCCTGGTGCTGCCGAATACTTACCCACGCATCTTTCCAGAAGACCTAGTCTCCCACATCTCTTACCTCCTGTTCCCAATATCTCTAGTTCATATTTTCGAGATCATTAAGAGGCCAGTTTGAAAACTGGATGCAAATAGCACAGTATGTGTCCCTCTGGTATCATCAGTCTTGACCTCCTTGTATCCTGCTAACTTTACAAACTCTTGCAAAATCCATTCCTACGTCAACAATAGTCATGTCTAACCCTTTCAGCACCAGAGTAGGTCCCATTAACTTTGGTCAGTTATGATAACTTTGCATTACCAAGGTTTTTCTAGCAAAAGATGTAGGAGGGTTTTCCAGTGTAAGTGGCATTCTCACTCAGTGGTTTTCTCCAGCCTTTCCCCCTTCTTTCATGATACACAGTTTCCTCTCACTTACTACAATTCCATTCAGATCTATTGATCATTGTACACAAGTGGTCTCTTTTTATTGAACTTGCTAGTGACTGATGAGGCTTCCCCCAACAGAGAAGGACTTCTGGCTCTTTGTAAATGTTGTAAAGAGATGCTGGGGGAAAAAAAATCAAGAATCCAGTGTTGTTTGGAAGAGAAGCACCTGTCTCAAGGGAAGAGAAAGAGACATTTCCCAGGAAGTAAACAAAACACTACGGCCAATAGGAAAACAGAGTACTTCATCCACAACTTACCAGAAGTCAAAATATCTGCTGAATTCTACCTGAGGGCAACATTACACAGGGAAGGTACTTTCTGAACTTCTTTCTCATGAGTGAGGATGGATGGATGGATGGATGGATGGATGGATGGATGGATGGATGGATGGAGCAAATAGCAAAAACAGAAACATGGATAAACAATGAAGATAACAAGAAAACAGGTATCATTAGGATGCTGGAAGAGAACAGAAGTCCTATTAAAAGGAGTGTATCCTGTTCTCTCCCCTAAAAACTCATCCTCCTCTGAACTCTGCTACTTTGCTCTTCATTTTATGTCTTCGCACCTTTCTGCTCCCTGGATGATCCTGTCTCTGCTGCAACATTTATATCTAGTCCTTGTATTCTGCAAGCCCATTTTGCCTCTGAGATGAAAGCCCCTTCCTCCTTTCCCTGTTTTAATTCCCTAAAACTCCATCTCTCATCAATACTTCCAAGCCCATTATATTTCCTATTCTTCCCACAAGACTCTCTCTTCCTTTCCCTGTAAAAGTTTCTTCTTTTGAGGATGACAGATTTGCTTTTTCCCAATTCCCACCAAAACACATATTCTTTCCCATTTTTAACTGACTGCTATTTTTATGCAAATCATTCCAACTTCAGTTTTTCCATCTTAAAATTATTTGTTTCTTCTATTTCCTGGGTAAAATCACAGAACAATTTGGACTGGGAGGGATCACAATGATCACCACAGGCAGGGACATCTTCCATTAGATGAGGTCACTCAAGGACCCACCCAGCCTGGCCTTGAACAATTCCTGGGTATCTACAGCTTCTCTCTGCAGCCTGTTCCAGTGATTCACCCCCCTCACAGAAAATAATTTCTTCCTTATGTCTCATCTAAAGCCGCTGCCCCTTGTCCTGCCAGTACAGGCCCTTGTAAAAAGTCTCTCTCCATCTATCTTTCAGCTCCCTTTAGGCACAGGAAGGCTGCTCCAAGGCCTCCTCAGACCCTTCTCTTCTTCAGGCTGAACAACCCCAGCTCTGTCAGCCTGTGCTCAGAGGAGAGAGATTCCAGCCCTCTGAGTTTTGTGGCCCTACTTTGGATGTGCTCCAGCAGGTCCATGTCCTTCTCACATTGTGGGACCTAGAGGTGGATGCAGCATTCAGAGTGGGGTTCCTTTCACAAGAGTAAAAGAACAAAATAACCTCCCTGGCCATGCTGCTTTGGATGCAGCCCAGGACAAAGCTGGATTTCTGCAGCTGGGCTGCAAGTGCACATTGGGTCATGTCCAGCTTTTTGTCAACCAACTCCCCCATCTCCTTCTCCCAGGGCTGCTCTCAATTCATTTTCTGCCCAGCCTATTTGTGCTTGGGATTGCCCAAGCCAGGTGTAGGATCTAGCACTTGGCCCTGTAGTTCACGAAGTTCACACAGGTCCATTTCTCAGGTCCAGGTCCCTCTGGATGGCATTATTCCCTCCCTCCAGTGTGTTGACTGCAGCACACAGCTCAGTGTCATCAGCAAACTTGCTGAAGGTGTGCTTGATCCCGCTGTACATGTCACTGACAAAGGTGTTATACAGTCCCAATGTTTGGCCTCTGAGGAACACCACTCATCCCTGCTCTCCACACAATATTTCACTCTCCTACCCAACCATGTCACCCATACTTTCCCTCTCTCAGGCTCCCTCTTCTCTTCCAAACCCAGCTCTAGATTCCCCTTTTGAGAATCTAGAGATTCTTCTCTGAGATTCATCTTATCTGCTCTGAGATATCCTCTAAGGACTGCTTTCACCAGCTTTCTCCACAGATGTTTTTCTCTCTGTCAAAATCCTAAATCCACCTGCAAAACTCATCTTTTACTTAGTTCACTGAGCCCTTTCCTCACTCATGCTCAGTTCTTTTCAAGCCCTTTGGTGTGCAAGGCCAGCCAGGACATTCAGTAGCTCATATTCAGAAGCATCCACTCCATCAGTCTCAAAAAGGCATTGACCATAGTTTCTCAAAGGCTGAGTCACAGTTCCACTGGCACTATTTTATCCCTGCCCACTCTTGGACAGCTCATTTAACAAACAAGTGACCATATCAGGGGACTTGCTCTACTGACACTAACAGAGAGCTATAGGGCACAACCAACAGAAGAGGAAGGTATTCTGATGGTAATATCAGCTCAGTACAGCATTTTGCAGCACTTTTCCTTTTGATTTAGAAACCCTGTATGTTCTAGCACTGAATGTTTCATGTGTTTTGTTGGTCTTGTTTCATCTCCCATTCCCTTCTGCAAACTTTAACTTTGTGCTTCAATAAACAAAGAGGGATACTAAAAGTCAGTCCAACTTGAACTTACATATTGCTACAGCAATTACAAAGGAACTTGCACAAACTGAGTCAATAGACTCTGAATTTTATTGTAAGACAATGATAACAAGCAAAATGATGCCAGCAAGATGAGGCAGTATGCCAGTTTAAGACATGAATGATGTTTGGAGGATATGCCATCTATATTCAAAAGAAACTGGATTCACAAGTTTAAAAATAATCTGGTAAAAATAAACCTAATTCAGTGGATTAAACCAGACTATTCTGTTCTACTAGCATTCCTAGGTTGTTTCCATTCAACAAAGAGGTTTAATCCAGTTGTAAAATATACAGGTATTACCTGTTTGAAGTGTCAGAGTAGAACGTGGTGCCCACAGCACCTAACACTAGCAATTGCTATTCCAAACCCAGGATGTTTCCTGGATTTGCATATAACCTGAAATAGGATAAACAATTTCAGACTTACACATTGCAGGGGAAGCATGCTGGACTGCAAGAAAAACTTTCTTTTCATGTGACAAGTGCAAAAAATTGAGTTTTCCAATCCATGATGTTCTTGTTTTGCATGGAGCTTTGAGATGTCACCTTTACAGCCAGCCAGGGTCAAGATGAACCATGACCGTGTCTCTGAGGAAGGAGGTTCAGTCCATGGGCTGCATTCCCAATGAGGTTGATACAGTGAACTCAAATTAATTCAGCAGGCAGGAAACATGGCTACCATACCTAAATTCTGACATTGCCTAAGGCTGAAATAGTACAGCTCAGGAGGTGAGGAGGTTTAAGTAACATTACACACATCTCTTCTCCCAAGTAACTTAGCACCATCTAGGTTTCCCTAGCTTTGGAAGTGCTCTTGATCATCATTTCTAGTGGCATGCTGATAGTATCAGACATAAAACCTTCTTCAAGGGGAGATTAGTTCCCTTCTGGTCTTTGCTGCTGAATATTGCATTGTCCCTAAGGCACCATCAAGTTGCTTCTTGTTCTTCTACTCTCTCCCCAGCCACATGCTCTTCCAGTTTCTCTGAAGCCCTGCTGATTCAGAGTAGCAATGCAGATGGAGGAACACTTCCCTGGGGAGAAGAGCCTGCTCCCAGCTTGGAAGCAGAGCTAATTTTCAGATGGCCTTTTTCCCACACAAAGAAGGAGCATCCATTCTGCCCTTTCCTCCTCCCTTGCTTCTGTATAACAAAATAAGCATTAATAAAGATAATGAATTTAATCCTTGTTCTGGCTGAACCTTCTTGGAATGCACAGTGAACTGCTGCACTCAGGGAGTGAAATCAGTGGCAGATTTGTATTTCAAATAATATTATAGATGTTGATTCTTCTATTTTTTCCCTTTGTTTTACAAATGTTACATATGCTTGTTTTACGCAAAACAGCTTTGACATTTAGGAAAATTTTAACATTTTTAGGACTTCAATTTTCAGAAACAACTTTTTCACAGAAATTCACCTGAGTACCACACTACATAAGAAGTTTATAGTATTTAGGTAATTCTTCAGGTTTCCTGTCCTAATTCCATTCCTCAGGAAAAGTGTGCTCATAAGTGAACATCCCGAAGATCCTAATGTGAGCCCCCACACTGAGTCTTGCTTCAAAACCAGGGACTCCTCCCACACAAAATAATTGTAGCTGAGGCTTCCTTACTTAACCCAACACAAAACCACAACTATGAGGAACTACAGGTAAGCCAGCACCACTCCTACATCTACCAAATCTAACATTATAAGCCATTTAGAAGGTATTGCATAGCTCCAGCCAGCCCAAATCTACAGAGGAAATCTTTTTCTCACAGGTCCCACAGGATTTGCTTTCTGTCCTTCCCTTCAGTGCAGCTTTGGCACAAGAAATGCTCCTTCACTAAACAAGTGTTCAGAGGAGAGCACCCAAACATGTCCTGGCCTTGACCTGACTGACTGAGAATGCAAACCTTTTCTTCATCTCCCAAGTTCTCTGCTGGCTGCTGGGTGTTAGGATGGAAAAGAGTCTGTGACAGCTGGCCCATGTTAGCCACAGGGGAAGGCACAGCTGGGCACAACCATGGGGTGATGTCAAGCAGTGACAGGCCAGGAGGGAAGTACTTGGCAGATGGGGTTAAGAGAGGCAGATGTCTGAATGAAAGAAGTCAACTTGATCTCAGAGAAACAGAAGGGCAGGAAAGTTAGAAATCCTTGATGCCACAGCCACTTAACAGAATATAAATGTACGGTTAAGAGGATATTTATCTTTAGTCATGAGTGAATACATAGGTCGTATCTATGTCTAAAAGCACATATTGCAAATTTCCAAAACAAGATGAATAGACCCCTTCTTTCCAATTTGCTTTGCTGGGTGAGAAAGGCAGGAAAATGGTTTTGCACCCCTTTCCTCTGCCAGATTCTAGCTACCATTTCTCTTGATTACCATCAGAACCAGAAGGAGCCTGTGAAGCCTTTTAGGAGCGCATGCCTTCTCCACATCTTGGCCATGCTCATTGCTTGGCTCCTCCTCTCCTCTATCAGGTAAGCAACAGGAAAGCTGTCATACTTCAAGAAAGCAACTCCTCCAGAAAAAGAATAATAACTGCAGTTTCCCAGTCTACAAAATTAAACCCTTCACTTACTCTCTACATTTTCCCACTGCATAAACCTGGACCACAACAGCAGTCAAAGCCAGACATGTAAACACCACACTGTCCAGCTCCACACTCAGCTCCTCACCCATCACGGCAAAATTTGATACCAATATTGATATCTGAAAGTATCAGATATTGATATCTGAACATTTGGATTTAATTCAGTAAGGCAAATCACTTCAATGTAAATACCAGGTTTTAAACCTGTTGAATATGCACTTTGTACCTGCTTTTGAAACCAGAATTGAACTGCATCAATGAAGAACCACTGACAAGAACACAAATAACTTTTGTGTAAACTTACATTTCACTTTTACTTATTGTCTGTTAGTCTGGAAGATTGAATATAAGGAATGTTCATATACCTATAGTGTATATAACTCAGATTCCCATTGATAGTACTTTATTATTTTAGAAAAAATGGCATTTTTTATTTGCTGAGTTATCAGTATTTCACTTGTGATTTGCTTTGGATGGCACAGGGGCTATTCTAATTTATAAGAGCAGTAACATAAAACTTTGTTTGTAAGCCCACATGTAAAGAATCAAGCAAGCATTTCTGCTTGTTAGTTACTGCTTAGTCACTGTTTGGAGGAAACTGTACTGAAACACAGTAAAATGAAAAAAGCATCCTGTGAAAAGTTAGGGCCATAGAAATCTATTTTACTAATTCAGAAAATTCTGGCCCTAGTCATTTTGCCAAGAACTCTCCCCAGTTTCAGCAACGTTATCTTAAACTTAGGTGGAAAATATGCATTGCTTTTTTGTTTATTTTATCATATTATTCTATTTTACTTACATAAACTACAGGCATTGCATTTTAATTTCAAATGCAATTTTAACCAAATTTAAATTCTAAGTTTTTGTTATGTTTGGGTTTTTTTTCAATTTAAAATTTGACTTTAGTAATTTAACTATTTTTGTCTGCCACCCCTGAAACTCATAAAATGAGCTGGCTTGAAAAATTGACATCTCACATGGTGTTGCTCAATCCCAGAAAAGTACTTTTCAATTTCCAAATAGAGCTTTTTTCTCTATTTTCTGTTTCATTTAATAAGAATATTTCCTGACAGTCATAAAGTCTACATTGAAAGGCAAAAATCCTGTCCTGTAAGATGTTTGTTCTGCCTGACTTAGAGTGATCTGAGAAAAAGAAGAAAAAACCAAATCTGTTGTAAATGAGGCAAAGTGTTACTTTGCAGTTTAGAGATCTCAATCACTATTCAAACTCACTTTCCAAGTCTGCAAAAATTGGTCAGAAATTCTGCTTTCTCCCGGTCTGGAAAAAAATCCATTCTGGCGCCACAAAATGGAATTATGCTCTTGCCAGCTCTGCCCCAGACATGCTCAGGTTGGCCTTTATTCGCTGTGTGTTTATTTTGTGACAGCCAGACAAATGGCATGGTTCCACTTCTGCATCCACACGTTACCACTGAACACCTCCCGTGAATAAATCCCACTCCTTGATGCTGCTGGGACCAATTTTGTTGTACCTCCAATCAACAATGTCCCTCCAGCTTTGTTTTTCTCTTTTCCTGTGACAGGTTAATGGCACCGCTTCTCTGAGAGGGTCTTAGAAGGAGCTCAGCTAGACAAATACCAGCTCAAGAGGGTCTCTGTTGTTTTGCATTTTGAAGAAGTGGGTGAGATGCAGTACATTTTGATGTTGTTACCCTTTGTATTCTTTTTGCATAGTTAAGGATTCCTATGTGAGGCTTTCACTATGTGAAAACTGCTTTAGTCTGAATAAACTGAACAGTCAAAAAGAAAATAGCTGCAAGACATCGTTTAAAACAAATCTGTTCCCTGACATGAATAGCCAAAATCAGACAGGCAGATTAAACTGTGATTATTTAATGCATTAAGAATCAGTGGGATATGTTCACAGGACTGAGCCTGAGTTGTTGTTTGTGTCCTGAATTTCCAAGAGATCAGAGCTGCATTAATAGCAAGATATTACACTGCCAGTAACAGCTACCTGACTATGATTTACTGCAGTTTTCTGCCTAATAAACAAGCCTGAACATACTCAAGGATCAGAGCATTGTGAGTGACTTCTTATAATCTGTTGCAAACTGAATATGAATGCAGAAAAAAAATCCTTTCAGCTGCATATGCAGAGGATAGATGAACCTTGCAGAGTATCTTACTGATGTGACTAAGAGTAGAGGTAAAAATTCCCCTACCTTTTCTTTATTGGAATTGTTTCATTTTCACTTTTTTTTCCTTTTCCTATATATCTGTTCTCCAGAACCACCAATTTCACCTTTGTACTGGGGCTGGCAACTTCAATCTGTACAAAATACTTGTGAAGAGAGAGAGAGGTCTGCGTACAATAGAGTGAGAAAATAGTGAGGCTTACATTCACTACTTTGTCATATTTGTGATGCTACAGATCAAACTGCAATGCTTCCCCAAGGGAGCTGGTAGAACGTAGGACTTTCCTGAGGCAACAGCTGTCCAGACCCATGCAGTCAAGGCATCACTGCTTCCTTCAGAAGGTGACTAGCAGAGCTATGAGAAAGTGAAGGTACAAATCCTGCTGTTCAAAGGGTGATAAGAAGAAGTGAAACTGACTGTGACCGTCCAATCCTATACTGTGCCCAGAGCTTCACCCCATGTGGAAATTCCCAAGTTCTGCACTCCAGGATTTCCAAAGCCAGGGGACAAGCCCTTACTACTGCAGACCACACGATAGGAATTTAGCAGGCAGAAAAAGAGGGCAGAAAAAGTGTTCAGGTGAAACCCTGCTCCTGGGTGGGTTTCCTCCATCACTCTCCTTGCTCTCACAGTGAGGCACAGTTCCCACACAGAGCACTAAAAGGCAGGCATGGTGCTGGACCTTACTTTGTGCTGCTCTCCTATCTTACCTCCTTTCCAAAACCCAGATGGTGATGTGGCCTGGCAAGAAGGAGCCTCTTAAAATAGCTGCTGAAAGGAACGTGGCTCTTTGCTACAATTCAAAAGAAAGCAAGGTATGTTTGAGGAAGATGTGTACAAGGTAGGAGACAAAGGGAGCCTTCCTCTACCAGGTTTCCCTTTGTGACTGGTGTCAACCATCCTCATGGACAGTTGGCCCCTTTGAAACCACTTCTGGAGGGACATCAAAGAGAAGCTTGGAATGTGAGGCTGCATAGCTGAGTCCACCTTTTTACCTTGTTGTGAGGGTACTGGTGAAACAATGACTGAGAGTGATTGCTCAGCCTTCTCTCTCCTCCCTCCACAATAGGCTTCATCCCTCCCACTGTTGGCCAGATTTTGGTGGAGAATTACTACTGCCTGTTCCTTTCTTTACAGCCCTCTGTCGATCCTCTTGCTAATCACCTCAGGGGCACACCTTCAAATTCTGGAAAAGGGCAAATACTGGAAACAGCAATGGCAGCAGCACAGCACACCTGGAGGAACCTCAGCTGGTAAAGCAGTAGAAGATGGAAGCACCACGGTTGCATAGAGGCAGCTTGGCAGGGACAAGCAGTGGGTGCTTGGTGGTCCTGCCCAAATAAATGTGTGCCAAATTGCACCCTAAAATACCATAGCTCTGCCATGCACAGGGCTGAATTTCTGAGAGTATTGTGCCTGCAAAAGGATTTGGAAGCAACAAAAAATAAGGCATTGAATGGAAAAAAAAGGCTTGAGTCCACTGTTTGAGCTGTATACAAAGCCCATTATTTTCACTCTGATGAGTGAAATCAAGGACATTCCAAAGTGATTCATGAGCATGTAACCTGGCTACAGCTGACAATGACTGTGCCTTGGCAGGCTGGGATGACAGACTGAAAGATGAGCTCCTAATAAAATCAGGCTCAAAAGCAAATGTAGAGAAAGCTCTAATGGCTGATAATTTAATACAGAGAAACAAGATATAAACAGCTCGCAGGAGTGCTCTCGTGTGCAGTTATGACCTACATGGTCATGTAATAAAACAGGTACCTGTAATAAAGCAGATATGAGTAACAGTCTCAGGAGCCCAGAGAGGTGAGGGTACAACAGCAGGGTGTGATATTACAAGAGAAGCAAACGTTAGAACACAGCAGGTTTGCAGCAGAGGTGGATTGCACTGTGCAAAGCCTGGTGAGAGGCAAGGTGTGCACAAAGACCCACAGAGAAACCCATCCTGCCTGGGTTCAATGCAGTTGGACTAGCAGGCAAGATCAAGCCATACAAATAGAACAGGAACATAGATAGTTTGGATTTTACCATAGGTCAAAATAAGATAAAGATGATGATAAGTAATTTGTAATTGTCCATCTTAACAGTTCTTAAAGAAATTTCTACAACATTTGAAGTCTGGAGACAAATAGGTTTCAGTATAGTAAAAAAAATAGTCTAAATACGAACATTGTCTATGTGAACAAAATTAGTAATTAAAACAGTCCCTATATGCAAAAATGCAATATTAAGGGCAGGATAATGTCACCATCCAGGCCTTTTCTATAATAAATGTGTGTTTTGTTTCAGTACTAGAAAGAAAAGACTTAAAACTGCTGAACTCAACAACAAATCCACCAGTGGTGGAATTCATAAAATGAAAACTCACATCAGAGGGAACTGAGAAGAGGGATACTGATAAATTTAAAAACTCACCAAGTCTTTGCAAAGCCATGTTATCTACAAGCATTGCTTATAATAAGGGCCAGAATAAAGGAGAGATGACAACTTACAAGGGAATTGTATAGTTTCTAAAAGGTGGAGGAGCTCTTGATGTAGGTGAGAGGAAGAGAGAGACAACAGCTATAAACAGCCCCTTGAAGTGTCACACAGGAGGAGGATACTGCTGCCTACTCAGACTGGGACACCAGCAATAAATCCTGGCATCAAATAAAAAACCCAAATGCTGCCAGAGCACTGCTTCCCAAATTATTGGAAGAGACTATTTTAATTAGAACTATATTTGAATTGCAGACAACATTTGAATTATGTAAGGAAAAAAAAGAGCTAATGGTTCACTCACTGCTTTCTACTAATACAGAGCTTTATCCTGTCTGTTTCTGAGGTGTTTTAGAACTCCCAAAAGACAGAATATTCACAAAGGAACATTATTTCAGACAATATTATTGTTATTATTATCATTATTATTGTTGTTGTTACTGTTATTATTACTGTTATTATTATTGTTAATCTGTCAAGCTCATCTTGACTTTCTGCTAACGATTAACTTAGCATTTTAAAATTATTTTTACTTATTTGTTACTCAACACCCATGCACAGAACTTCAGAAAGCCCTAATTCATTAATGACTTATTCACTGTCTTGAGGCAATCTAGCTGTTTTAGAGACACATTACTGGATTCTTTATAGGTTGGCTTTTATCAGGGAAAAGGGATGACTCACTGGAGGTCAGGCAGGATGGCACAATACACCAGGTGTGGTAAATAGGAACTCCAGAAAGCAGGTCGTAACAGCAGCAGCAGATAAATCAGAAAGTCAGCTCACACACTACATGATCTAAGATTCCCTGAGTAAGAAGTTTTAGAGAAGTTTTTTGAAGTAGTAATGTAGATGAAGTGATTTTTATTAGATCAGGACACATTTATTTTTATAAGTTCTAGCATGCATTTCTGCAGGCTACTATTCAGAGCTTCTGATGACAGTAATTCTATTTAAATTATTAGTTTGAAATTTCTCTGCTTATTGGCCTGCATGCAGCTGGGCACCAGTAAGGTGTGTTTATTGCCAAGATGTGGAAGACAAGCACTAAACCTGGGGGCTTTGTAACTGGTGACACCACAATGGTCCTTGCAGCTTTGTTGCCATCACAATGTAGCAGCCTGTCACTTATGCCATGTTCAAGGGTGAGAGAAAAGCTGTCTGTTTTAATCAGGTTGGGTCAGCAAGAAAGCAGAAAGCACGGGTTGGACACTGCGTTTCAGTTCCCTTTGCAGCCCAAAAGGTAAGTGTAAACTGGAAGAAGTTACTGTGGATGCTGCTAAAGCCAGGAGCCAAAGGGGCGCTTCAGGCTGAGCTCTGGGTTTGTTTCCCTAGCATGATGAGTTACCCAGTGCTCCACTTGGGCCAGCCAGCTCTGCTGAGAAGCTGTGCACATCTGGTCAGACGAAATTACATTGCAAGCAAGCCCTGTGGTAACAGAGGTAGCTCGGCCAGAGCTGGCTCCAGTGTTTTGCATTGAACCAAATTGTACTGCATGGACATCTTCTGTCTCAGGGCTGGGCTCTTCTGGACTAGGGATGAAGTCTGCTACTGGTAATACCTCTGCTGCATCCCTTCTTTAAACGAAAATTCTCATGGGTTTCTCAACAGAGTCCTGTAACCTTATTTAATTCAGCCTCTACAAATAGCAGCTTACAGCACTTAAGGCTAACCAAATACCTCTCTATCTCTGTCAAAAACTGGAGTTATTATTTTACTGGAGATCCTTAGCTTCCTGCTGTTGTGTTTTATTACTGTTGCACAGAGCACACCACATGCCTCAGGGAGCAGTAAGTGCTACTGCATGAATTACATCAGCACAGAGTGCTGCCAGTTTCGCTTTGGTGCATCACTCACAAACTGTGAGGATGTCCAAGGCCCTGGTTCATACTGCCATCCTGAAGGGATCAAACATCTGGAATGACACCTGAAAAGAGATGTACAGTTTGGTGTTTACCACCATGACCCCTCTGCAAACTGCTGGAGGAGCTGCAATCCCAACTCAGTTTTAGTGAGATGGCATTCTGAACATGCTATTCATTTCAAAAAGCTTGTTTTGATGCAATAGGACCATTTGAAAAGCAGCCCCAGTCTGCACAGCTGCCAACCCTTGCCTTCCCCCTTCCTTGTCTCTCTGATCTGCTGAGGGGGAAGTTCCAATGACATCCTCCTCATAAAGAATTCCAGCCCAAGCAGCTCCTGTGGGGTCCCCTGATACTCTTTGCCTTCCCCCTGATCCCATCTCCCATGTTCCCATACTGTTCCTGATAATCACAAAGGTAAATTAGACCC